GCTCTACTGTGAGAGTTGGAAAGAAGGTTGCTCCACCTCCAGGCATCATACATCCAGGGAAAAGAAGGAAAAGGAAGGAGTAAGAGGCAGTGCTTGTCTCAAGAAAGCCAAAATCTTCCCAGGCTTAATATCTCATTGGCCAGAACAGTGTCATGTGGCCACTATAACTGCAGGGAATTCTGGGAAGATAGTGAAATGATACATCCACTAACTTTAGCCTTTTCTCATATGCTCAAAAGACCTTTGATATAAATATAAAAGTATAAATTATCCAATTAAATCATTTAGATGTTTACATCAAAGTTATTACATCTACAGATATATTGTTGTCTCATGCTAACCACAAAATAAATTTTAGATGGATTAACTGAAATTTTAAAAATATAAAAAGTATGTATGTTAAATTTTATATATAAAATCCCAAATGAGATTTTATATGGATACAAACTCTGCCTTCCCGTACTCAACTGAGAGCAGGGTGATAGTGAAAGGAGGGGAAAGGAGAACCAGCCTAATATCCTAACCCCAGGCCCACACCCAGGCCTATGGTTGAAATAAACATATGCACATTCAGGCTGAGGATCTTGAAATTGAGTTTTTAAAAGTCTACTCAGGCCTACACACTTCTTGAAAAGTTTTTGGGTATCCCCAGGGGTACATATACTCCAGTGTAAAGACCACTGCTCTAGGGGAAACTCTGTACACAAGATCTCTACACGAGTGTTCACTGCGGCACTGTTTATCAGCTAGCAAACCTAGAAATGGCCTAAATGTCCATCTTGAGAATGATGGAGAAACTAAATGTAATATAGCATATGATGGGATACCAACAGCAGTAGTTAAACTAAATTAACTAGATCTATATATGCCAATATGGATGAACCTCAAAACTGTAAGTTGAGTAAATAAAATAAGCAAGATACAGAACAATATGTACAATATCATACAATTTCTATAAGTTCAAAAAAACTATATTTACAAAGCAATACTATTTGTATTTTTAAATTACGAATTATATTCAACATACAGAAAAATATAGAGAATAAGATCTATGCATATACTTACCCACCAGATTTAATAAATGCTAATATTTTACCATATACAGATACATTTACAAGAAATTGAATGTGTAATCAGGGTCTTATATTTCTCTCTAATCCCTTTTTCCTCCTTACCTTCCCAGAAATAATTTATTAAGAAGTTTGTGCCCTGGCCAGTTTGGCTCAGTGGATGGAGTGTTGGCCTGTGGACTGAAAGGTCACAGGTTTGATTCTGGTCAAGGGCACATGCCTGGGTTGTGGGCTTGATCCCCAGTAGGAACCGTGCAGGAGGCAGCCAGTTGATAATCCTCTCTCATCTGATGTTTCTGTCTCTCTCTCCCTCTCCCTTCCTCTCTGAAATCAATAAAAATATTTTTTAAAAAGAAGTTTGTGTGTAAATTACCTGTCCATGTTACCATTTTGCTACATATATGTGTATCTATATCCAGAATATATAAAGAACTCGTACAACTCAACAACAACAAAACAACCTAATTTTAAATGGGCAAAGGACTTGAATAGACATTTCTACAAGGAAGATATACAGATGGCCAATAAACACATGTAAAGATGTTCAACAACACTAATTAGAGCACTGCAAATCAAAACTACAATGATGCCACTTGACACCCCTTAGGATCTACAATAATAAGAGTGTAATATGCTAATTAGACTGGACAGCCGAACGACCTTCCAGACGAAGCCAGGGCTGCGAGGGCCGAGTCCCTTGCACGAATCTCGTGCATTGGGCCTCTAGTGGTTATTATAAAAACAAAAATAAGCAATTAATCAAACAAACAGTAAATAGCAAGTATTGATAAAGATGTGGCAAAAATTGGTATCCTTGTGCACTGTTGGTGGGAATGTAAAAAGGTGCAGCCACTCTGGGAAAGCCAGTATGTAGGTTCCTCAAAAAGTCAGAAACAAAAGTACCACATGATCCAGTAATTCCACTTCTGGGTATCAGTATATACCCCAAAACAATTGAAAGCAATAACTCAAAGATATCTATATACCCATGTTCATAGTACCATTACTCACAATAGCCAAAATGGGGAAGCAACCCAGGAACCCATTGACAAGTGAATGGATAAGCAAGATGTGTATATACATACAATGGAATATTATTGTTTTAAAAAGGAAGGAAATTCCAACACATGCTACACCATGGATGAGCCTTAAAGGCATTATGTTAAGTGAAATAAACCAGTCACAAAAGGACAAATTCTGTATGATTCCACTTATGTGAGCTACCTAGAGTAGTCAAATTCATAGAGACAGAAGTAGAATGGTGATTGCCAGGAGGTGGAGGAAGGGAGGAATGCATCATTGTTTAATGAGTATAATTTCCGTTTTGGAAGATGAAAAACATTCTGGAGATGAATGATGGTGATGGTTGCACAACAGTGTGCATGTACTTCATGCCACTGAACAGTACACCTAAAAAATAGTTAAAATGGTTAATTTTGTGTGATGTATATTTTACAGAATTTATAAAAAGTAACTTCAGATAAGAAGTTCCCCCCTTCTGACATGGCACAGCACATCGCTGTATCCTTACTTGGGAACGATGTCTCTGACAGAAAGCATGGTCTCTGGAATGTGAATTATGACTCTTCACATAATAAACTTTTTCATTGTAATTAGAGCAGAATGTCACAAGATGTCACTCTTTAGCTGAGAAACTATTCCAATTGGTTCAGTAGCTGATAACAGTAATGCCAGAGCAACTAACAGAAGCCTGTAACTACTCCTCAGTACTTGACTCATACCAACATGATTTTCTGGGAAAGGTTTTCATCTCCCCGGTGTTATTATGAAGCTATTCTTGTTTATGAAACTTATGTGAATATTTTTAACTTCATTGGTACTAACTGCTTTTCATAATAAATCAAATTGGTGTAATTAAGACACAACTAACTTTGATATTGATTGTAGTAATACAAAGCTGAAATGTAAAAATTATTGGTCATTGAAAGTCAGGTGGTTTTTGGCTTTAACACTCAATTATGTGTGAGCTTGGGTAAGTCATTTCATCTCTCTGGTATCACCAGAGTGGTAAAAAACACACACACAGCTCTAACCGGTTTGGCTCAGTGGATAGAGCGTCGGCCTGGGGACTGAAGGGTCCCAGGTTCGACTCCGGTCAGGGGCATGTACCTTGGTTGCGGGCACATCCCAGGAGGGGGCGTGCAGGAGGCAGTTGATCGATGTTTCTCTTTCATCGATGTTTCTAACTTTCTATCCCTCTGCCTTCCTCTCTGTAAAAAATCAATAAAATATATTAAACACACACACACACACACACACACACACACACACACAAAACCAAAACACAACAACTTCCTTTTTTAGGTCAATATACACTATTGTATATTTAATATATGCTAATACATATTTAAGTACATCCTTCTAATTTAAAATATTTTGCTTTTTATAGTAGTACTCAAATTATAACTGTTCAAATACACCACCAATAGGAGTTCAGTAATAGAAAATACTGTCTGCAAGATGGATTTCTTGAGATCGTGGGGAAGTATTTAGAAAAATACATGTGTAAAACAATTATAGTAAAAAGTATAAACTCTTGAAATTTAAAAAATCACATTTATTACTGAAATCATTTTTTAAATAATGGAATATCCTGATGTATATTTTAGCTTTTTTAAATATAAAAATTTCAAGATTCAAGAATATTTCAATTCTTAAAGATTATAGCAGTTGAATTAGTAATATTACCTTGCAACTATAATCCAAATAAATTATTATTTTTTAATCTTCTATTTTGGTAAGAAGTTTATAACTGATTTATAGTACCTAAAAATAATCTAAAGCTTAAATGTCCACCCCTGGGTGAACTGCTGGACTCTGTGGTACATTAATAAACTAGAATATATTTTATTAGTAGTAACTATTAGTATTAAATTATTGTGATAAGAAATACTATTGGAAATGATGAGTGAAAACATAGAAGTCAGAATGATATAAAAAAAGAGTGTAAGTATGTAAGTAGTGCCTAGTTTCAAATATTGCTTTGTTTAATTTTATTGTTTAACTGTTAAAACTTAGGTCTTTCTATTTAACTTTTCTGTTCAGATGATTAAATATGTTAAAGGAAAGAAAAGAATTACTTCTTAAAATTCACATGATTATTTTAAACACTGGAAGCTAAATATACGATTTATATTCTTGGTACAGTGCCACTTCTACGCGTGTGTGTGTGTGTGTGTGTGTGTGTGTGTGTGTGTCTGTGTGTTGGGCTGGTGGTGGGAAGTCTCCCAGTGTAAAAGGAGTCTGGGAGGGGCATAGTGGGAGAGACCCCTTCTGTCCCATTAATGACACGTTCGTTCACTGGGAGTTGGCTGAAACAGACCTCTCTTCTACAGTCATTCCCTTAACCCTAATAAGGCTCCGCTACCGCAGCTAGAACTCGGTAAGCTCCTGGGGAATAACCTGACATGCTTTGGGGGGATGGCTTATTGGATGTGGAGGAGGGAGGCTGTGGAGGTGGTAGTTATCAGGCATTGCTTTGCTTCCGTGTTTGCACGGGGTTTGAATTTTTATTTAAAAATGATTATTTAGACAGTAGACTATTTTTTCCCAGAACTTTTCAGGGGGGCTGCTGCTGTGGCCCACTGGCAACAAGCGCCCAGAAAGCCTGGGGAGAGGGATTTCGCAGGTGTCGGCGCTGGGGCCAAGGACTGCGCGGGGGTTCAGCCTCTGCCTCTGTCCCCAGGTCGCAGGGATGCTGCTGTCCTGGCCCTGCCACCACTGAAGCACCCAGGGGGCCCGGAAGAGCCGACCTGACTTTTTTTGTCCTTTGAGGCTGCGAGCATCACTCTTGCT